TGTCTAGAAAAGAAGGTTTATACATTTCTTTTGTGGATTAAGCTTTTATTGTTATATCTAACAGTTCTTTACCCAGTCTAACATCACCAACATTTTCTCCTATGTTTTCTTCTGGAAGTTTAATAGTTTCACATTTAAGACCAAGCATGGTGGTTCATGCCTGTAATCCCAGCATTTTTGGAGGCCACAGCAGGTGGATTGCCTAAGCTCACAAGTTGTGGTGGGTGTTGTGGTGGGCGCCTATAGTCCCAGCTACTGGGGAGGCTGAGGCAAGAGGATGGCTTGAGCCCAAGAGTTAGAGGTTGCTGTAAGCTATGCTGTTATGGCACTCTACCCAGGTCGACAGAATGAGACTGTGTCTCATTAAAAAAGAGAAAAAAGAGCAAAGATATGAATGGACACTTCATAAGAGGATTTTCAAATAATAAACATATGAAAAACTGTTCTACATCTTTATTCATTAGAGAAATACAAATTAAAATCATAATGAAGTATATCAAAATATATACTCACTGAATGGTGAAAATAGACAAATATCACTGAGCGTTAGTACGGCTAGAAGCAACTGTCATTCTCCTACACTGGGGAGGTGGAAGTATGATTTGTATTAACACAAGCAGTTTGGAAAACTGGCTGCATGACCATAGCTAATGACGCAGCAGTTTCCTTTCTAGAATATACTCCGCAGTACAACAGAATGTAGACCTGCATACATATTGAAGAAATTTTTAGCACCCTACTTATATTTTTATTATTTATTTATGTTTTTTGAGACAGTCTCACTATGTCACCCTTGGTAGAGTGCCATGGCGTCACAGCTCACTCTAACTCTTGGGCTTCAGTGATTTCTCTTGCCTCAACCTCCCAAGTAGCTGGGACTACAGGTGCCTGCCACAGCGCCTGGCTGCTTTTTTTTGTTGCCATTGTCATTGTTGGTAGCAGGCTTGGGCTGGGTTTGAACCTGCCTACCTTCGTGTATATTGCTGGCGCCTTAACGACTGAGCTATGGGCACTGAGCCTGCACCCTACTTATAAATAGCCAAAATTTAGAAATTACTCAAATACTCATTGACAGTAAAATGTTTGAATTATTTTTATAGTCAAACAGAATTAAATAAGAAATGACAAAACTATTGTATGTACTGATATAAATGAATCCCACACATACATAGCGTGTAGAGTGAATGAAGATGGTGGCATATTAAGACTACATTTATACAAAATTCAGAAATAGGAATATGATTTTGTGGTGTTAGAAGCCAGGATCATAGATACTTTTGGGTGAGTAGTAGTCACAAGGGATATTGATAATAAACTATTTCCTGATCTTTAGTGATTGATAGATATGCTTACTTTTTATAATTTATCATGCTTTACATTTCTGATTTACATACATTCTGTGTATGGTTATACTTTGATTTTAAAAAGTTTATTTTAAAAAATTAATGAGGGCATGGCTCATTAATAGGGTGCCAGCCACATACACTGAAGCTGGTGGGTTCCACCCCAGCCTGGGCCTGCTAAACAATAATGACAAGTGCAACCAAAAAAAAAAGAAAAATAGCTGGGCATTGTGAGGCGTGCCTGTAGTCCCAGCTACTCCGGAGGCTGAGGCAAAATAATCGCTTAAGCCCAAGAGTTTGAAGTTGCTGTGAGTTGTAATGCCCAAGGCACTCTACCGAGGGCAACATAGTGAGACTCTGTCTCAAAAAAAAAAAAAAAAATTAATGAGGGCAAAGTAAAGATATTTCCAGGAAAACAAATTGCATGGTATTCTTGGTAGTGTGGCTGAGTATGAGATTGGCATACAGTAGTCATTAGCTTCTCTCTAGTAATTAGCTTCTGAAAATGGAAGCAGTTAGAAATGATTTCATTTCCAGTAGCAAGCAGCTTCATTCTTTCTGACTCTTAGGGTAGGTTCCTACTGTTTGCCCCTTGCTTTTAGCTCTAAGGCTTCTCAGTTGTTGCTACTGCAGTACCTAATATGGGAACTTAGGTTGTACAGATCACTGTGAGGGTATTTAACACTCTGTGGGGCAAACTTTGGTCAGTGGCATATGGGACCCAATGAGTCACCTCAGACTGTCTTGAAGTGCATTTCATATATTTTCTCATAGTGTCCCTTGTTGCCAACTGTTGTGGCACTTGGTTTTAGTTGTCTTTCCCTGTTACACTATTCTGTCCTTAATTCCTGCTCCCTAAAAAAGTATTGCATAAGCTACTTTCTCAGACTGCTCAGGTCCCCACAACTAAGAATCGTCTAGCCCAATGTGTCAGGTGTGCTGAGGATAGAAATGTGGTATCTGAAGCCAAAGATTTGCTTTAAAATCCAAGCTCTTCCATACTCAATCTCTATGACTTTTGGAAATAACCACTGAGTCTTAATTTTTATTATCTATAAAATGGCAATAATAAGCAGATACAAGCAAAATCCTTGAGGATTTAATGAGATAAGCTTTATAAACTTAATGCCTGGAGCATAGATGAATTCAGTAAAAAAGCAGCTATTGAAACTTTACATTCAAGTTTATACTGCTGCTTTCTGACCCCCCCCTTTTTTTTTGCAGGATAAATAATCTCCCAGAGTCCAAGTTCTCAAATCCTTCTATACAACTACCAAAAGGGATAGCTTCCCCCTATAAAGAAGCTTGTATAGAATTCCATATAGAGAAAACACCAACGTGATTTATGTGAAGATTTAAGTGGACATATGAATTTTTTACTTCTTTATTTAATTTTTAGCTTTTTAAAAGAGGATAGGTTATTGGTAGTGACTCTGTGTTACAGTGAAAAGGTTGTTTTCCCAAAAATCCAAGTCCCTTGTCAAAAACTTTAAGAATAGCAATAAAAATTATTAGGATGTAGAAGGTTAAATTCTAAAACCCTAGAAATACCAGAGAATGTAGTATGTAAGCCACTGAGGATTAAACAAAGTAACATTAAAATACATAAAATGGGAAGTTTACTGTTTAGTTTTTAAAAATAGTACCATTTGTTTATATATCTAATTTGGAGGGTGCTATGCTGCGCATTTTAGTATGGTTAGTGGCAACCTCTGGCTTCTACCCACTAGATACCAATGACACAGCCTTCACTCCCCTAGTTGTGACAACCTAAAATGTCTCCAGACATTGCCATATGTTCCTTAGGGTGGGGGCATAATAATCCTTGTTTGAGAACCATTGAGATAGACTTAATTTTGCATTCTAGCCCTAGGGCCTGTGACTGTATAAATTTGAACAAGTTACCTAGCTCTTAAACCTTAGTCTTCATGAGTGACATAATGTATATGTAGTGCTTAGCTCAGCTCCTGATATATAGAGTTCAGTAAATGAGAGATTATGATGCTAAAACCTGTTTTCTTTTTTTGCCACTCTGCTTTCTTCAACAGTAAAATTTCCCTTTGTATAGCCTGTGGTCAAGAATTTCTCATCTATGATCTTTGAAAGACATTGAGTGTTTTGTTTATTTATTTATTTATTTTGAGACAGAGCCTCAAGCTGTCCCCCTGGGTAGAGTGCCATGGCATTACAGCTCACAGCAACCTCCAACTCCTGGGCTCAAGCGAGTCT